CTACTGAAATATACAGAGTAGTGTCAGAACGTCTGTGTCCTCTACTGAAATATACAGAGTAGTGACAGTACGTCTGTGTCCTCTACTGTAATATACAGAGTAGTGACAGTACGTATGTGTCCTCTACTGAAATATACAGAGTAGTGTCAGAACGTCTGTGTCCTCTACTGAAATATACAGAGTCTTGTCAGGACGTCTGTGTCCTCTACTGAAACATACAGAGTAGTGTCAGAACGTCTGTGTCCCCTACTGAAATATACAGAGTATTGTCAGAACGTCTGTGTCCTCTACTGAAATATACAGAGTATTGTCAGAACGTATGTGTCCTCTACTGAAATATACAGAGTATTGTCAGAACGTCTGTGTCCTCTACTGAAATATACAGAGTCTTGTCAGAACGTCTGTGTCGTCTACTGAAATATACAGAGTATTGTCAGAACGTATGTGTCCTCTACTGAAATATACAGAGTCTTGTCAGAACGTCTGTGTCCTCTACTGAAATATACAGAGTAGTGTCAGAACGTCTGTGTCCTCTACTGAAATATACACAGTAGAGTCAGAACGTCTCTGGCCTCTACTTAAATATACAGAGTAGTGTCAGAACGTCTGTGTCCTCTACTGAAACATTCAGAGTAGTGTCAGAACGCCCGTGTCCTTTACTGAAACATACAAAGTCTTGTCAGAACGTCTATGTCCTCTACTGAAACATACAGACTCTTGTCAGAACGTCTGTGTCCTCTACTGAAACATACAGACTCTTGTCAGAACGTCTGTGTCCTCTTCTGAAATATACAGAGTAGTGTCAGAACGTCTGTGGCCTCTACTGAAATATTCAGAGTAGTGTCAGAACGTCTGTGTCTTCTACTGAAATATACAGAGTATTGTCAGAACGTCTGTGTCCTCTACTGGAATATACAGAGTAGTGTCGGAACGTCTCTGTCCTCAATGAAATATACAGAGTCTTGTCAGAACGCCTGTGTCCTCTACTGAAATATACAGAGTAGTGTCAGAACGTCTGTGTCCTCTACTGAAATATACAGAATCTTGTCAGCACGTCTGTGTCCTCTACTGAAATATACAGAGTCGTGTCAGAACGTCTGTGTCCTCTACTGAAATATACAGAGTAGTGTCAGAACGTCTATGTCCTCTACTGAAATATACAGGGTAGTATCAGAACGTCTGTGTCCTCTACTGAAATATACAGAGTAGAGTCAGAACGTCTGTGTCCTCTACTGAAATATACAGAGTATTGTCAGAACGTATGTGTCCTCTACTGAAATATACAGAGTAGTGTCAGAACGTCTGTGTCCTCTACTGAAATATACAGAGTAGTGACAGTACGTCTGTGTCCTCTACTGTAATATACAGAGTAGTGACAGTACGTATGTGTCCTCTACTGAAATATACAGAGTAGTGTCAGAACGTCTGTGTCCTCTACTGAAATATACAGAGTCTTGTCAGGACGTCTGTGTCCTCTACTGAAATATACAGAGTAGTGTCAGAACGTCTGTGTCCCCTACTGAAATATACAGAGTATTGTCAGAACGTCTGTGTCCTCTACTGAAATATACAGAGTAGTGTCAGAACGTATGTGTCCTCTACTGAAATATACAGAGTATTGTCAGAACGTCTGTGTCGTCTACTGAAATATACAGAGTATTGTCAGAACGTATGTGTCCTCTACTGAAATATACAGAGTCTTGTCAGGACGTCTGCGTCCTCTACTGAAATATACAGAGTAGTGTCAGAACGTATGTGTCCTCTACTGAATTATACAGAGTAGGGTCAGAACGTCTGTGTCCTCTACTGAAACATACAGAGTATTGTCAGAACGTCTGTGTCCTCTACTGAAATATACAGAGTCTTGTCAGGACGTCTGTGTCCTCTACTGAAATATACAGAGTAGTGTCAGAACGTCTGTGTCCTCTACTGAAATATACAGAGTCTTGTCAGGACGTCTGTGTCCTCTACTAAAACATACAGAGTAGTGTCAGAACGTCTGTGTCCCATACTGAAATATACAGAGTATTGTCAGAACATCTGTGTCCTCTACTGAAATATACAGAGTAGTGTCAGAACGTATGTGTCCTCTACTGAAATATACACAGTATTGTCAGAACGTCTGTGTCCTCTACTGAAATATACAGAGTCTTGTCAGAACGTCTGTGTCGTCTACTGAAATATACAGAGTATTGTCAGAACGTATGTGTCCTCTACTGAAATATACAGAGTCTTGTCAGGACGTCTGCGTCCTCTACTGAAATATACAGAGTAGTGTCAGAACGTATGTGTCCTCTACTGAATTATACAGAGTAGTGTCAGAACGTCTGTGTCCTCTACTGAAACATACAGAGTATTGTCAGAAGGTCTGTGTCCTCTACTGAAATATACAGAGTCTTGTCAGAACGTCTGTGTCGTCTACTGAAATATACAGAGTAGTGTCAGAACGTCTGTGTCCTCTACTGAAACATACAAAGTCTTGTCAGAACGTCTATGTCCTCTACTGAAACATACAGACTCTTGTCAGAACGTCTGTGTCCTCTTCTGAAATATACAGAGTAGTGTCAGAACGTCTGTGTCTTCTACTGAAATATACAGAGTAGTGTCAGAACGTCTGTGTCCTCTACTGGAATATACAGAGTAGTGTCGGAACGTCTGTGTCCTCAATGAAATATACAGAGTCTTGTCAGAACGCCTGTGTCCTCTACTGAAATATACAGAGTAGTGTCAGAACGTCTGTGTCCTCTACTGAAATATACAGAACGTCTGTGTCCTCTTCTGAAATATACAGAGTAGTGTCAGAACGTCTGTGTCCTCTACTGAAATATACAGAGTAGTGTCAGAACGTCTGTGTCCTCTACTGAAATATACACAGTAGAGTCAGAACGTCCCTGTCCTCTACTGAAATATACAGAGTAGTGTCAGAACGTCTGTGTCCTCTACTGAAATATACAGAATCTTGTCAGCACGTCTGTGTCCTCTACTGAAATATACACAGTCGTGTCAGAACGTCTGTGTCCTCTACTGAAATATACAGAGTAGTGTCAGAACGTCTATGTCCTCTACTGAAATATACAGAGTAGTATCAGAACGTCTGTGTCCTCTACTGAAATATACAGAGTCTTGTCAGAACGTCTGTGTCCTCTACTGAAATATACAGAGTAGTGTCAGAACGTCTGTGTCCTCTACTGAAATATACAGAGTAGTGACAGTACGTCTGTGTCCTCTACTGTAATATACAGAGTAGTGACAGTACGTATGTGTCCTCTACTGAAATATACAGAGTAGTGTCAGAACGTCTGTGTCCTCTACTGAAATATACAGAGTCTTGTCAGGACGTCTGTGTCCTCTACTGAAACATACAGAGTAGTGTCAGAACGTATGTGTCCCCTACTGAAATATACAGAGTATTGTCAGAACGTCTGTGTCCTCTACTGAAATATACAGAGTAGTGTCAGAACGTATGTGTCCTCTACTGAAATATACAGAGTATTGTCAGAACGTCTGTGTCCTCTACTGAAATATACAGAGTCTTGTCAGAACGTCTGTGTCGTCTACTGAAATATACAGAGTATTGTCAGAACGTATGTGTCCTCTACTGAAATATACAGAGTCTTGTCAGGACGTCTGCGTCCTCTACTGAAATATACAGAGTAGTGTCAGAACGTATGTGTCCTCTACTGAATTATACAGAGTAGTGTCAGAACGTCTGTGTCCTCTACTGAAACATACAGAGTATTGTCATAACGTCTGTGTCCTCTACTGAAATATACAGAGTCTTGTCAGGACGTCTGTGTCCTCTACTGAAATATACAGAGTAGTGTCAGAACGTCTGTGTCCTCTACTGAAATATACAGAGTCTTGTCAGAACGTCTGTGTCCTCTACTGAAATATACAGAGTATTGTCAGAACGTATGTGTCCTCTATTGAAATATACAGAGTCTTGTCAGGACGTCTGTGTCCTCTACTGAAATATACAGAGTAGTGTCAGAACGTCTGTGACCTCTACTGAAATATACAGAGTCTTGTCAGAACGTCTGTGTCCTCTACTGAAATATACAGAGTATTGTCAGAACGTCTGTGTCCTCTACTGAAATATACAGAGTCTTGTCAGAACGTCTGTGTCCTCTACTGAAATATACAGAGTAGTGGCAGAACGTCTGTGTCCTCTAATGAAATATACAGAGTAGTGTCAGAACGTCTCTGTCCTCTACTGAAATATACAGAGTAGTGTCAGAACGTCTGTGTCCTCTACTGAAATATACAGAGTAGTGTCAGAACGTCTGTGTCCTCTACTGAAATATACACAGTAGAGTCAGAACGTCTGTGTCCTCCACTGAAATATACAGAGTATTGTCAGAACGTCTGTGTCTCTACTGAAATATACAGAGTATTGTCAGAACGTCTGTGTCCTCTACTGAAATATACACAGTAGAGTCAGGACGTCTGTGTCCTCTACTGAAATATACAGAGTAGTGTCAGAACGTCTGTGTCCTCTACTGAAATATACAGAGAATTTTTAGAACGCCTGTGTCCTCTACTGAAATATACAGAGTAGTGTCAGAACGTCTGTGTCCTCTACTGAAATATACAGAGTAGTGTCAGAACGTCTGTGTCCTCTACTGAAATATACAGAGAAATTTTAGAACGCCTGTGTCCTCTACTGAAATATACAGAGTAGTGTCAGAACGTCTGTGTGCTCCACTGAAATATACAGAGTCTTGTCAGAACGTCTGTGTCCTCTACTGAAATATACAGAGTCTTGTCAGAACGTCTATGACCTCTACTGAAATATACAGAGTAGTGTCAGAACGTGTGTGTCCTCTACTGAAATATACAGAGTCTTGTCAGAACGTCTGTGTCCTGTACTGAAATATACAGAGTAGTGGCAGAACGTCTGTGTCCTCTACTGAAATATACAGAGTAGTGTCAGAAAGCCTGTGTCCTCCTCTACTTCAATATGCACAGACAACAAGAGGACAGGACACATTAAGACTTACTCTCGCGTGGCACCAGCGTGTCGGCATAGTACCGGAACTCGAAGCCTATGTTCCCCATGTTCATCATGCTCTTGTGCATGTTCATGTCGTCTGCCGTGAAGGTAAGCATCAGTACCTGGCCGGTACCGCGGTACACTGGCTTCCGGTTGCCACACCACTCACCCAACTTTGCAGAGTCAGGGCCGTCGCCTGGAACGGGATGAGAGATGTCAGTGATGATGATTGACAGAAACGAAAACTCTTGTCTCCATCCCCCTCTCCACCGGTCTCTCCACCCTCTCACAACCATCTCGCCCCCCCCCCTCCCCGTTTCTCCCCCCTCTCTCACTCCACCTCCTCACCACCGGTCTCTCTTCTCTCTCTCCTCACACTCACCATATATCTTTCCACCCCCTGTCCTCCCCTCTCTCCCTAACCCTCTCTCCTCCCTCTCTCCATACACCACCTCTTCCCCACTCACTCACAACCATCTCTCCCCATCCTCTCTCCCTATCCTCTCTCCCCATCCTCCTCTCCCTACGCTCTCTCCTCCTCTCTCCTCACGCTCACCACCTCTTCCCCACTCACTCACAGCCATCTCTCCCCATCCTCTCTCCCATCCTCTTCCCCTACCCTCTCTCCTCCTCCTCTCTCCCCATCCTCTTCCCCCTACCCCCTCTCCCCCTCTCTCCTCACGCTCACCACCTCTTCCCCACTCACTCACAACGATCTCTTCACATCCTCTCTCCCCATCCTCTTCCCCCTACCCTCTCTCCTCCTCTCTCTCCATCCTCTTGCCCCTATCCTCTCTCCCCATCCTCTCTCCCCATCCTCTCCCCCTACCATCTCTCCCCATCCCTTTCTCTTCACGCTCACCACCTTTCCCCCACTCACTCACAACGATCTCTTCCCATCCTCTTCCCCCCACCCTCTCTCCCAATCCTCTCTCCACATCCTCTCTCCCCATCCTCTTCCCCTACCCCCTCTCCCCATCCCTTTCTCCTCACACTCACCACCTCTTCCCCACTCACTCACAACGATCTCTTCCCATCCTCTCTCCCTATCCTCTCTCCCCACCCCTCTCTCCACATCCTCTCTCCCCATCCTCTTCCCCTACCCCCTCTCCCCATCCCTTTCTCCTCACACTCACCACCTGTTCCCCACTCACTCACAACGATCTCTTCCCATCCTCTCTCCCCATCCTCTCCCCCTACCCCCTCTCCCCATCCCTCTCTCCTCACACTCACCACCTGTTCCCCACTCACTCACAACGATCTCTTCCCATCCTCTCTCCCCATCCTCTCCCCCTACCCCCTCTCCCCATCCCTCTCTCCTCACACTCACCACCTGTTCCTCACTCACTCACAGCGATCTCTTCCCAATCCTCCCTCCCCATCCTCTCTCCCTATCCTTCCTCCCCATCCTCTCTCCGCATCCTCTCTCCCTATGCTCTCTCCCCATCCCTCTCTCCCTCCCCATCCTCTCTCCCTATCCTCTCTCCCCATCCTCTCTCCCTATCCTCTCTCCCTATCCTCTCTCCCCATCCTCTCTCCCTATCCTCTCTCCCTATCCTCTCTCCCCATCCTCTCTCCGCATCCCTCTCTCCCTCCCTATCCTCTCTCCCCATCCTCTCTCCCTATCCTCTCTCCCTATCCTCTCTCCCTATCCTCTCTCCCCATCCTCTCTCCCTATCCTCTCTCCCTATCCTCTCTCCCCATCCTCTCTCCCCATCCTCTCTCCCTATCCTCTCTCCCCATCCTCTCTCCCTATCCTCCCTCCCCATCCTCTTCCCCTACCCCCTCTCCCCATCCCTCTCTCCTCACACTCACCACCTGTTCCCCACTCACTCACAACGATCTCTTCCCATCCCTCTCTCCCAATCCTCCCTCCCCATCCTCTCTCCCAATCCTTCCTCCCCATCCTCTCTCCCTATCCTCCCTCCCCATCCTCTTCCCCTATCCTCTCTCCCCATCCTCTTCCCCTATCCTCTCTCCCCATCCTCTCTCCCTATCCTTCCTCCCCATCCTCTCTCCCTATCCTTCCTCCCCATCCTCTCTCCCTATCCTTCCTCCCCATCCTCTCTCCCAATCCTCCCTCCCCATCCTCTCTCCCTATCCTCCCTCCCCATCCTCTTCCCCTATCCTCTCTCCCCATCCTCTTCCCCTATCCTCTCTCCCCATCCTCTCTCCCTATCCTTCCTCCCCATCCTCTCTCCCTATCCTTCCTCCCCATCCTCTCTCCCTATCCTTCCTCCCCATCCTCTCTCCCTATCCTTCCTCCCCATCCTCTCTCCCTATCCTTCCTCCCCATCCTCTCTCCCTATCCTTCCTCCCCATCCTCTCTCCGCATCCTCTCTCCCTCCCCATCCCTCTCTCCCTCCCCATCCTCTCTCCGCATCCTCTCTCCCTCCCCATCCCTCTCTCCCTCCCCATCCTCTCTCCCCATCCTCTCTCCCAATCCTTCCTCCCCATCCTCTCTCCCTATCCTTCCTCCCCATCCTCTCTCCCTATCCTCTCTCCCCATCCTCTCTCCCTATCCTCCCTCCCCATCCTCTTCCCCTACCCCCTCTCCCCATCCTCTCTCCCTATCCTTCCTCCCCATCCTCTCTCCCTATCCTTCCTCCCCATCCTCTCTCCCTATCCTTCCTCCCCATCCTCTCTCCCTATCCTCTCTCCCCATCCTCTCTCCACATCCTCTCTCCCCATCCTCTCTCCCAATCCTCCCTCCCCATCCTCTCTCCCTATCCTTCCTCCCCATCCTCTCTCCGCATCCTCTCTCCCTATGCTCCCTCCCCATCCCTCTCTCCCCATCCTCTCTCCCTCCCCATCCCTCTCTTCCTCCCCATCCTCTCTCCGCATCCTCTCTCCCTATGCTCTCTCCCCATCCCTCTCTCCCTCCCCATCCCTCTCTTCCTCCCCATCCTCTCTCCCTATCCTCTCTCCCCATCCTCCCTCCCCATCCTCTCTCCCCATCCTCCCTCCCCATCCTCTCTCCCTATCCTTCCTCCCCATCCTCTCTCCGCATCCTCTCTCCCTATGCTCTCTCCCCATCCCTCTCTCCCTCCCCATCCTCCCTCCCCATCCTCTCTCCCCATCCTCTCTCCCTATCCTCTCTCCCTATCCTCTCTCCCCATCCTCTCTCCCCATCCTCTCTCCCTATGCTCTCTCCCCATCCCTCTCTCCCTCCCCATCCTCCCTCCCCATCCTCTCTCCCCATCCTCTCTCCCTATCCTCTTTCCCTATCCTCCCTCCCCATCCTCTTCCCCTACCCCTTCTCCCCATCCCTCTCTCCTCACACTCACCACCTGTTCCTCACTCACTCACAGCGATCTCTTCCCATCCCTCTCTCCCAATCCTCTCTCCCCATCCTCTCTCCACATCCTCTCTCCCCATCCTCTCTCCCTATCCTCTCTCCCCATCCCTCTCCTCACACTCACCACCTCTTCCGCACTCACTCACAACGATCTCTTCCCAGCCTCTCTCTCTATCCTCCCTCCCTATCCTCTCTCCCTATCCTCCCTCCCCATCCTCTCTCCCTATCCTCTCTCCCAATCCCTCTCCTCACACTCACCACCTCTTCCCCATCCCTCTCCTCACACTCACCACCTCTTCCCCACTCTCTCACAACCATCTCTCTGCCCTTCTCTCCACCTTCTATTCCCCATCTCTTTACCCTTTCACCGCACCTCACTCCTCCTTCTCACAATTCCTTTCTTCCCTTTATCCAACCTCTCCACCATATATATATATTTATATACCATATATACTTCTCACCATCATTGACAAAGGCGTAATCGCTGCAGTCTTCGGGCAAGTTGGATTCCAGCACCTCAATAACCACTACATAATCGGGACGATAAGATACAAATCTCCACGAGCACTTGGAAAAGCTGGAACAATACATACAAAACAAAGGTAGGACGTGAACAATGCTGAAATATTCGCCACATTAACACACAGAGCTGAAACAGAACTAAAGGGTATTGAGGTTAGGTAGGTGTACTCACAGTGGGTATTGCATGGAGGCTAGCCAAGTGTACTCATAGTGGGAATTGCATGGAGGGTAGCTAGGTGTACTCACAGTAGGCATTGCTTTGGGAAGTTAGGTGTACTCATTGTGGGTATTGCATTGGGAAGTTAGGTGAACTCATAGTGGGTATTGCATGGGGAAGTTAGGTGTACTCTTAGTGGGTATTGCATGGGGAAGTTAGGTGTACTCACACTGGGTATTGCATGGGGAAGTTAGGAGTACTCATAGTGGGAATTGCATGGAGGCTAGCTAGGTGTACTCACAGTAGGCATTGCTTTCGGAAGTTAGGTGTACTCATTGTGGGTATTGCATTGGGAAGTTAGGTGTACTCACACTGGGTATTGCATGGGGAAGTTAGGTGTACTCACACTGGGTATTGCATGGGGAAGTTAGGCGTACTCATAGTGGGTATTGCATGGGGAAGTTAGGTGTACTCATAGTGGGTATTGCATGGGGAGGTTAGGTGTATACACAGTGGATATTGCATGGGGAAGTTAGGTGTACTCACACTGGGTATTGCATGGAGCTAGCTAAGTGTACTCATAGTGGGTATTGCATGGGGAAGTTAGGTGTACTCACACTGGGTATTGCATGGAGGCTAGCTAGGTGTACTCACAGTGAGTATTGCATGGGGAAGTTAGGTGTACTCATAGTGGGTATTGCATGGGGAAGTTAGGTGTACTCATAGTGGGTATTGCATGGGGAAGTTAGGTGTACTCATAGTGGGTATTGCATGGGGAAGTTAGGTGTACTCACACTGGGTATTGCATGGGGAAGTTAGGTGTACTCATAGTGGGTATTGCATGGGGAAGTTAGGTGTACTCATAGTGAGTATTGCATGGGGAAGTTAGGTGTACTCATAGTGGGTATTGTATGGGGAAGTTCGGTGTACTCACACTGGGTATTGCATGGGGAAGTTAGGTGTACTCATAGTGGGTATTGCATGGGGAAGTTAGGTGTACTCACACTGGGTATTGCATGGGGAAGTTAGATGTACTCACACTGGGTATTGCATGGGGAAGTTAGGTGTACTCTTAGTGGGTATTGCATGGGGAAGTTAGGTGTACTCATAGTGAGTATTGCATGGGGAAGTTAGGTGTACTCACACTGGGTATTGCATGGAGCTAGCTAAGTGTACTCATAGTGGGTATTGCATGGGGAAGTTAGGTGTACTCATAGTGGGTATTGCATGGGGAAGTTAGGTGTACTCACACTGGGTATTGCATGGAGGCTAGCTAGGTGTACTCACAGTGGGGGTTGCGTGGGGAAGTTAGGTGTACTCATAGTGGGTATTGCATGGGGAAGTTAGGTGTACTCATAGTGGGTATTGCATGGGGAAGTTAGGTGTACTCATAGTGGGTATTGCATGGGGAAGTTAGGTGTACTCACAGTGGGTATTGCATGGGGAAGTTAGGTGTACTCATAGTTGGTATTGCATGGGGAAGTTAGGTGTACTCATAGTGGGTATTGCATGGGGAAGTTAGGTGTATACACAGTGGATATTGCATGGGGAAGTTAGGTGTACTGACTCTGGATATTGCATGGAGCTAGCTACATGTAGGTGTACTCACAGTGGATATTGCATGGAGTTAGCTACATGTAGGTGTACTCACAGTGGATATTGCATGGGGAAGTTAGGCGTACTCATAGTGGGTATTGCATGGGGAAGTTAGGTGTACTCATAGTGGGTATTGCATGGGGAAGTTAGGTGTACTCATAGTGGGTATTGCATGGGGAAGTTAGGTGTACTCACACTTGGTATTGCATGGATCTAGCTAGGAGTACTCACAGTGGATATTGCATGGGGCTAGCTAGGTTTACTCACACTGGGTATTGCATGGAGCTAGCTACAGGTAAGTACTCACAGTCGATATTGCATGGAGCTAGATAGGTGTACTCACACTGGGTATTGCATGGAGCTAGCTAGGTGTACTCACAGTGGATATTGCATGGAGCTAGCTAGGTGTACTCACAGTGGATATTGCATGGAGCTAGCTGGGTGTACTCACAGTGGATATTGCATGGAGCTAGCTAGGTGTACTCACACTGGGTATTGCATGGAGCTAGCTAGGTGTACTCACAGTGGATATTGCATGGAGCTAGCTAGATGTACTCACAGTGGATATGGCATGGAGCTAGCTAGGTGTACTCACACTGGGTATTGCATGGAGCTAGCTAGGTGTACTCACAGTGGATATTGCATGGAGCTAGCTAGGTGTACTCACAGTGGATATTGCATGGAGCTAGCTAGGGGTACTCACAGTGGATATTGCATGGAGCTAGCTAGGTGTACTCACACTGGGTATTGCATGGAGCTAGCTAGGTGTACTCACACTGGGTATTGCATGGAGCTAGCTAGGTGTACTCACAGTGGATATTGCATGGAGCTAGCTAGGTGTACTCACACTGGGTATTGCATGGAGCTAGCTAGGTGTACTCACAGTGGATATTGCATGGAGCTAGCTAGGTGTACTCACAGTGGATATTGCATGGGGAAGTTAGGGGATTTCATGATGACCTTCTCTCGCTTCGCCAGGATGTTCATCATTTCGGGGCAACCTCCTTCCTCTGTGGACAGTTAACATCATCTATATGTGTAGGTATGTATGAAATTAACACAGACATACTTTACTATGACGCCACTACTTCCTTCTTAGAGAGAAGCATTTCTCCATGACGCAACTACTTCCTTCTTAGAGAGAAGCATTTCTCCATGATGCCACTACTTCCTTCTTAGAGAGAAGCATTTATCCATGATGCCACTACTTCCTTCTTAGAGAGATGTATTTCTCCATGACGCAACTACTTCCTTCTTTGAGAGAAGCATTTATCCATGATGCCACTACTTACTTCTTACAGAGAAGTATTTTACCATCATACCACTACTTCCTTCTTCTAGCGACGTATTTGACCATAATGCCACTACTTACTTCTTACAGAGAAGTATTTCACCATGACCTTCCCATCCATCATTTTATGATTTGTCATGATTTTGTAGGTGAGAGTTGGACCAGTGCCGGAAAACATCTTCTTGAACGACCCACACATCTTTTCCCCAGTTGACGTCGTGTCTGCTCCTGAAACACATGTCAACATCCATTGAATTTTCTGGAGGGTCGAGGGAGGGAGAACTGAGAGGAAGGGAAGGAGGGGGTGGGTTGCTGCGTTGAGAGGGTGGCGGGGACTGAATGGGAGAGGGAGGGAGGGAGAACTGAGAGGAAGGGAAGGAGGGGGTGGGTTGCTGCGGTGAGAGGGTGGCGGGGACTGAATGGGAGAGGGAGGGAGGGAGGGAGACCTGAGAGGAAGGGAAGGAGGGGGTGGGTTGCTGCGTTGAGAGGGTGGCGGGGACTGAATGGGAGAGGGAGGGAGGGAGAACTGAGAGGAAGGGAAGGAGGGGGTGGGTTGCTGCGGTGAGAGAGTGGCGGGGACTGAATGGGAGAGGGAGGGAGGGAGGGAGACCTGAGAGGAAGGGAAGGAGGGGGTGGGTTGCTGCGTTGAGAGGGTGGCGGGGACTGAATGGGAGAGGGAGGGAGGGAGAACTGAGAGGAAGGGAAGGAGGGGGTGGGTTGCTGCGTTGAGAGGGTGGCGGGGACTGAATGGGAGAGGGAGGGAGGGAGAACTGAGAGGAAGGGAAGGAGGGGGTGGGTTGCTGCGGTGAGAGGGTGGCGGGGACTGAATGGGAGAGGGAGGGAGGGAGAACTGAGAGGAAGGGAAGGAGGGGGTGGGTTGCTGCGGTGAGAGGGTGGCGGGGACTGAATGGGAGAGGGAGGGAGGGAGAACTGAGAGGAAGGGAAGGAGGTGGTGGGTTGCTGCGGTGAGAGGGTGGCGGGGACTGAATGGGAGAGGGAGGGAGGGAGAACTGAGAGGAAGGGAAGGAGGGGGTGGGTTGCTGCGGTGAGAGGGTGGCGGGGACTGAATGGGAGAGGGAGGGAGGGAGAACTGAGAGGAAGGGAAGGAGGTGGTGGGTTGCTGCGGTGAGAGGGTGGCGGGGACTGAATGGGAGAGGGAGGGAGGCAGGTAGGATGAGGCAGAGAATCATTATAGTCAGTTCGTCAAAATACAAGCAAACGAAGAGGGTGACAAATTTTTACCCACAAAGCGCTACATTTTCAGACCATCCAGTGAATGATGTACTTTTGTGTAATGTGTATAACGCAGGAGGATAACATACTATTTCAAGCACTGTTCAAGACTATATTTCATTGAAACATTCCAGCTACACAATCATACAGAGTGACACAGTTGAAGCGTTGTACTCATACCGTTATAGACAGTGCCACAGTCACCCATGCCCCCTTACTATCATACACAGTGACACAGTCACCCATGTCGCCTTACCATCATGCATAGTGACACAGTCACCCATGTCCCCTTACCATCATACACAGTGACACAGTCACCCATGTCCCCTTACCACCATACACAGTGACACAGTCACCCATGTCCCCTTACCATCATACACAGTGACACAGTCACCCATGTCCCCTTATCGTCATGCATAGTGACACAGTCACCCATGTCCCCCTACCATCATACACTCTGACACAGTCACCCATGTCCCCTTACCATCATACACAGTGACACAGTCACCCATGTCCCCTTACCATCATACACAGTGACACAGTCACCCATGTCCCCTTACCATCATACACAGTGACACAGTCACCCATGTCCCCTTACCATCATACACAGTGACACACTCACCCATGTCCCCTTACCATCATACACAGTGACACAGTCACCCATGTCACCTTACCATCATACACAGTGACACAGTCATCCATGTCCCCTTACCATCATACACAGTGACACAGTCACCCATGTCCCCTTACCATCATACACAGTGACACAGTCACCCATGTCCCCTTACCATCATACACAGTCACCCATGTCCCCTTACCATCATACACAGTGACACACTCACCCATGTCCCCTTACCATCATACCCAGTGACACACTAACCCATGTCCCCTTACCATCATACCCAGTGACACAGTCATCTATGTCCCCTTACCATCATACAAAGTCACCCATGTCCCCTTACCATCATACACAGTGACAAAGTCACCCATGTCCCCTTACCATCATACACAGTGACACACTCACCCATGTCCCCTTACCATCATACACAGTGACACAGTCACCCATTTTCCCTTACCATCATACACAGTGACACAGTCACCCATGTCCCCTTACCATCATACACAGTGACACAGTCACCCATGTCCCCTTACCATCATACCCAGTGACACAGTCACCCATGTCCCCTTACCATCATACACAGCCACCCATGTCCCCTTACCATCATACACAGTGACACACTCACCCATGTCCCCTTACCATCATACACAGTGACACATTCACCCATGTCCCCTTACCATCATACACAGTGACACAGTCACCCATGTCCCCTTACCATCATACACAGTGACACAGTCACCCATGTCCCCTTACCATCATACACAATGACACAGTCACCCATGTCACCTTACCATCATACACAGTGACACAGTCACCCATGTCACCTTACCATCATACACAGTGACACAGTCATCCATGTCCCCTTACCATCATACACAGTGACACAGTCACCCATGTCCACTTACCATCATACACAGTCACCCATGTCCCCTTACCATCATACACAGTGACACACTCACCCATGTCCCCTTACCATCATACCCAGTGACACACTCACCCATGTCCTCTTACCATCATTCCCAGTGACACAGTCATCTATGTCCCCTTACCATCATACACAGTCACCCATGTCCCCTTACCATTTTACACAGTGACACAGTCACCCATGTCCCCTTACCATCATACACAGTGACACACTCACACATGTCCCCTTACCATCATACACAGTGACACAGTCACCCATTTTCCCTTACCATCATACACAGTGACACAGTCACCCATGTCCCCTTACCATCATACACAGTGACACAGTCACCCATGTCCCCTTACCATCAAACACAGTGACACACTCACCCATGTCCCCTTACCATCATACACAGTGACACAGTCACCCATGCCCCCTTACCATCATACACAGTGACACAGTCACCCATGTCCCCTTACCATCATACACAGTGACACAGTGACCCATGTCCCCTTACCATCATACACAGTGACACAGTCACCCATGTCCCCTTACCATCATACACAGTCACCCATGTCCCCTTACCATCATACACAGTGACACAGTCACCCATGTCCCCTTACCATCATACACAGTGACACAATCACCCATGTCCTCTTACCATCATACACAGTCACCCATGTCCCCTTACCATCATACACAGTGACACAGTGACCCATGTCCCCTTACCATCATACACAGTCACCCATGTCCCCTTACCATCATACACAGTGACACAGTCACCCATGTCCCCTTACCATCATACACAGTGACACAGTCACCCATGTCCTCTTACCATCATACACAGTGACACAGTCACCCATGTCCTCTTACCATCATACCCAGTGACACACTCACCCATGTCCTCTTCCATCATACCCAGTGACACAGTCACCCATGTCCCCTTACCATCATACCCAGTGACACAGTCATCCATGTCCTCTTACCATCATACCGAGTGACACAGTCACCCATGTCCTCTTACCATCATACACAGTGACACAGTCACCCATGTCCTCTTCCATCATACACAGTGACACAGTCACCCATGTCCTCTTCCATCATACACAGTGACACAGTCACCCATGTCCTCTTCCATCAAACACAGTGACACAGTCACCCATGTCCCCTTACCATCATACACAGTGACACACTCACCCATGTCCTCTTACCATCATACACAGTGACACAGTCACCCATGTCCCCTTACCATCATACACAGTCACCCATGTCCCCTTACCATCATACACAGTGACACAGTCGTTCATGTCCCCTTACCATCATACCCAGTGACACAGTCGTCCATGTCCCCTTACCATCATGCACAGTGACACAGTCACCCATGTCCCCTTGCCATCATACTCAGTCAACCATGTCCCTTTACCATCATACACAGTGACACAGTCACCCATGTTCCCTTACCATCATACACAGTGACACACTCACCCATGTCCCCTTACCATCATACACATTGACACGGTCACCCATGTCCCCTTACCATCATACACAGTGACACAGTCACCCATGTCCTCTTACCATCATACACAGTGACACAGTCACCCATGTCCCCTTACCATCATACACAGTGACACACTCACCCATGTCCTCTTACCATCATACACAGTGACACAGCCACCCATGTCCCCTTACCATCATACACAGTCACCCATGTCCCCTTACCATCATACACAGTGACACAGTCGTTCATGTCCCCTTACCATCATACCCAGTGACACAGTCGTCCATGTCCCCTTACCATCATGCACAGTGACACAGTCACCCACGTCCCCTTGCCATCATACACAGTCAACCATGTCCCTTTACCATCATACACAGTGACACAGTCACCCATGTTCCCTTACCATCATACACAGTGACACAGTCACCCATGTCCCCTTACCATCATACACAGTGACACACTCACCCATGTCCCCTTACCATCATACACAGTGACACAGTCACCTATGTCCCCTTACCATCATACACAGTGACACAGTCACCCATGTCCTCTTACCATCATACACAGTGACACACTCACCTATGTCCCCTTACCATCTTACACAGTGACACAGTCACCCATGTCCCCTTACCATCATACACAGTCACCCATGTCCCCTTACCATCATACACAGAGACACACTCACCCATGTACCTTTACCATCATACACAGTGACACAGTCACCTATGTCCCTTTACCATCATACACAGTGACACAGTCACCCATGTCCCTTTACCATCATACACAGTGACACAGTCACCCATGTCCCCTTACCATCATACACAGTCATCCATGTCCCCTTATCATCATAAACAGAGACACACTCTACCATGTCCCTTTACCATCATACACAGTGACACAGTCACCTATGTCCCTTTACCATCATACACAGTGACACAGTCACCCATGTCCTCTTACCATCATACACATTGACACACTCACCCATGTCCCCTTACCATCATACACAGTGACACAGTCACCCATGTCCTCTTACCATCATACACAGTGACACAGTCACCCATGTCCCCTTACCATCATACACAGTGACACAGTCACCCATGTCCTCTTACCACCATACACAGTGACACAGTCACCCATGTCCTCTTACCATCATACACAGTGACACAGTCACCCATGTCCTCTTACCATCATACACATTGACACAGTCACCCATGTCCCCTTACCATCATACACAGTGACACACTCACCCATGTCCCCTTACCATCATACACAGTGACACAGTGACCCATGTCCCCTTACCATCATACACAGTGACACAGTCACCCATGTCCCCTTACCATCATACACAGTGACACAGTCACCCATGTCCCCTTGCCATCATACACAGTCAACCATGTCCCGTTACCATCATACACAGTCAACCATGTCCCTTTACCATCATACACAGTGACACAGTCACCCATGTCCCCTTACCATCATACACAGTCACCCATGTCCCCTTACCATCATACACAGAGACATACTCATCCATTTCCCTTTACCATCATACACAGTGACACAGTCACCTATGTCCCTTTACCATCATACACAGTGACACAGTCACCAATGTCCCCTTACCATCATACACAGAGACACACTCACCCATGTCCCTTTACCATCATACACAGTGACACAGTCACCTATGTCCCTTTACCATCATACACAGTGACACAGTCACCCATGTCCCCTTACCATCATACACAGTGACACAGTCACCCATGTCCCCTTCCATCATACACAGTGACACAGTCACCCATGTCCTCTTACCATTATACACAGTGACACAGTCACCCATGTCCCCTTACCATCATACACAGTGACACAGTCACCCATGTCCCCTTACCATCATACACAGTGACACAGTCACCCATGTCCTCTTACCATCATACACAGTGACACACTCACCCATGTCCCCTTACCATCATACACAGTGACACAGTCACCCATGTCCTCTTACCATCATACACAGTGACACAGTCGTTAATGTCCATCAGGGTCGACTCAATGTGAACATTCACCACCTCATCTGCCATTGGCGACATCACTTTGTACACGCATTGCGAGTCTCTGGAACGGAGACAACATGTACTTCTTAATACCTGGCATCAAGATCATGATATGACGTCCTGAAGGGAGAACGGATACATTTGCAAGGGATCGGTCGCCTATTTTTTTAGTTCATGTTGTGAATATTCAGGAATCAGGTTACGTTTCAGATGTGACTATGTGGTGAGAGCAAATAGAACTGGATCCATATATCCAGCGAGCACCTGTTGAGTGAGTGAGTGAATTTGATTTTACGCCGCTTTTAGCAATATTCCAGCCATATCACGGCGGGGGACACCAGAAATGGGCTTCATACATTGTACCAATGTCGGGAATCGAACCCGGGTCTTCGGCGTGATGAGCGAACGCTTTAACCACTAGGCTACCCGACCGCCCCCGATCACCTGTTGAGAGAGTCCTTAAATTAAATAATTCATTTTCATGTTTATTCCAACTGCCTACAGCGTTATGGAAGGTCAATCCTTTAGAAAGTCCAAGTACCCAGAGTGTTATAGATGGTAACTCCTTCATATTGTCCAAGGGACCGTCGGGTAGCCTAGTGGTTAAAGCGTTCGCTCGTCACGCCGAAGACCCGGGATTGATTCCCGACATGGGTACAATGTGTGAAGCCCATTTCTGGTGTCCCCCGCCGTGATATTGCTGGAATATTGCTAAAAGCGGCGTAAAACCATACTCACTCACTCACTCATATTGTCCAAGTACTCAGAGTGTTAGAGGTGGTATCTCCTTCATATTGTCCAAGTACCCAGAGTGTTATGGATGGTATCTCCTTCATATTGTCCAAGTACCCAGAATGTTATGGATGGTATCTCCTTCATATTGTCCAAGTACCCAGAGTGTTATGGATGGCCTCTTCTTCATATTGTCCAAGTACCCAGAGTGTTATGGCTGGTATCTCCTTCTTATTGTCCAAGTACCCAGAGTGTTAGAGGTGGTATCTCCTTCTTATTGTCCAAGTACCCAGAGTGTTATGGATGGTATCTCCTTCTTATTGTCCAAGTACCCAGAGTGTTATGGATGGTATCTCCTTCGTATTGTCCAAGTACCCAGAGTTTTATGGATGGTAACTCTTTCATATTGTCCAAGTACCCAGAGCGTTAGGGAAGGTAATCATTTATAATACATCATCGAACTTTCAGGTAGGTTACCCTTAATATTCCCAAACTGTCCAAAGATTTACCAAATATATTTTATACAGTATTTGTGTAGAGAGGGACAGTTATTCCTCAACCTTCCACTTATAAACACTAGCCGTGTTCAGACAAGATACGTTTTTTTGAGTGAGTGAGTGAGTAGGTGGGTGGGTAGTTTGATTTGAGTGAGTGAATGAGTGAATGAGTGAATGAGTGAATGAGAGAATGAGTGAATGAGCATCATGCATCCTACCTCTGAATGTCCTCGTGTTCGGCTGTCTTTACAGTTCCATTGTCGGTCATCATATTCATGGACATTCCGTTACAATGTTTTTCTGCAACAACAGCAATTTTATAAACACCACATATTGTCCATACTTATGTTAACTGGATGCATCACAGCAATAACTCACACTAGACATATCACAATTATAACTTACAGTGGACATATCACAATTAAAACTCACACTTTACAGATCGCAAGTATTACTCACACTGGACATATCACAATCATAAATAACATATGTCATATGTCATAACTCACACTTGATGTATGTCAATTATATCTCACACTTGATATCTCACATTCGTAACTAACACTCGATATATACCATTAATAAACTTACATTGGATATATAACAGTTATAACTCACTCTGGATAAAAAAAAACAGTTATTACTTACACCAGGTATATCACAATTATTATTACACTTGAAAAATACCAGTTATAACTTACATCGGATATATAACAGCTATAACGCACACTAGATATATCACAGTTATAACTTACACTGGATATATAATGGTTATATCTAACACTGGATACACTAGTATCACAATCATAACTTACACAGGATATATGACAGGTACGACTAACACTGGATACACTAGTATTACAATTATAACTGACACAGGATATATAACAGGTATGACTTACACTGGATATACTAGTATCCCAATTATAACTGACACAGGATATATAACAGTTATAACTTACACTGGATATATAACAGTTATTACTAACACTGGATATATCACAGTTATAACTTACACTGGATATATCACAAATATAGCTTACACTGGATATATAACAGTTATAACTTACACTGGATATATAACAGTTATAACTTACACTGGATATATAACAGTTATAACTTACACTGGATATATAACAGTTATAACTTACACTGGATATATCACAGTTATAACTTAGTGTATAGACAGGACTTACTAAATGATGCAACCTTCAGCAGGACCCTGTTAGTTGATCCAGTGGGGGTCTTCAGCGTGAGGTCAGGCCCAGTGCTCATAAACATGGGCTTTCCTCCCTCCATGCAAGCCTTGTTGATGGCCTTCGTCCCAGATGCTCCTGGCAACACACAGGAGTAGGTGGAAATGTTGGATTATTGTCTGATAATATTGGTCTCTGGGTCTGTGTTCCGTGTTGTCTCTGAGTGACTGTGTTCCTTGTGGTCTCTGAGTGTCTGTATTGAGAATGTGTTTGAATGTCTGTGTTCCATGTGGTCTTTGTATGTCAGTATTAAGAGTGAGGTTTCAATGTCTGTATTAAGTGTGTGATGTCTGGGTGTCTGTATTAATAGTGTGATGTCTGAGTGTCTGTATTAAATATAGTGTCTGGGTGTCTGTATTAAGTATGATATCTGAGTGTCTGTATTAAGTGTGATGTCTGAGTGTCTGTATTAAATATAGTGTCTGGGTGTCTGTATTAAGTGTGATGTCTGAGTGTCTGTATTAAGTGTGATGTCTGAATGTCTGTATTAAGTGTGATGTCTGAATGTCTGTATTAGAGTGTGATGTCTGAGTGTCTGTATTAAGTGTGATGTCTGAGTGTTTGTATTAAGTGTGCTATCTGAGTGACTGTATAAAGTATGATGTCTGAGTGTCTGTATTAAGTGTGATGTCTGAGTGTCTGTATTAAGTGTGATGTCTGAGTGTTTGTATTAAGTGTGCTATCTGAGTGACTGTATAAAGTATGATGTCTGAGTTTCTGTATTGAGTGTTATGTCTGAGTGTCTGTATAAAGTGTGGGTTGTCTGAGTGTCTGTACCAAGCGTGTTATCTGAGAGTCTGTATAAAGTATGATGTCTGAGTGTCTGTATTAAGTTTGTGATGTCTGAGTGTCTGTTTTAAGTGTGATGTCTGAGTGTCTGTATTAAGTGTGTTATCTGAGTGTCTGTATTGAGTGTGATGTCTGAGTGTCTGTATAAAGTGTGGGTTGTCAGAGCGTCTGTACTAAGCGTGTTATCTGAGTGTCTGTTTTAAGTGTGATGTCTGAGTGTCTGTATTGAGTGTGATGTCTGAGCGTCTGTATTAAGTGTGTTATCTGAGCGTCTGTATTAAGTATTATGTCTGAGTGTCTGTATTGAGTATGTTATCTGAATGTCTGTATTACATGTGATGTCTGAGTGTCTGTATATATGTGTTTTTTGTTTGTTGTCTATATATTTCGCAATAATGTTTAGGATCACCCCACTCACCATCTATTGCTTCTACAGGGAATGGGTTAGCGTTACACATGACTTCTACTCCGGACGTGCTCATCATGACCGTCGCCCGCGCCGTCGTGCCTGGGGCCAGCAGGGTCTTGTCACAGTATTGCCTGGGGGTCAAACAAAGCACACGATGAACTTGAGTGGGTTTAAGGCTGTCTCACAGCCCCAAGGCAATAATTAAAAATGGAATCCAACTAGAATGATTTGGCAAGTCTACATTGCCTCAGTTCTAGAAGTTAAGCATTGGGCCCAATTTGTTTTGTTTTTTTAGGTGTACATATATAGTGTTAAATACGGTAACTTTATAGTGGCTAGATGTTCATCTATAAGGGACCAACCACTGAGCATGTTGGAGAGGACGGGGTGCGAATGTAGAAGATGGGATATTTTATCGGTCCTGTGACAGGAGGAGCTGCATAATTCAGTCTCTGTGAAACATTTTAGGACATCCAGCATGTCTGACATACGCTTTGTTTGGGGGGATAAAACCTGAGAACGATCTGCGTTGCCAGTAAAGGTAACAACTCGCTGCCCTCTCAAATATAGCGTCGTCCAATTACGACGTCACAAAGTTGCGAGCGTATGTTTGAATCTCTAGAAATGATGTATTGATAGGACAATGTTTTATTGTGAAATAAAACACGCCTCATTCCTGAACACGCATACGACCGCATACCAAAAGTTCAGCTAAATATTTTTCTTGTTACGTTTGATGGCTTTCTGCCTCAATTGTGTTTATTGGGCTGTATTCACAATTTCTCTAAATACTGAAAGGAAACAAGGGACACATGCATATCCGGGGTAGAGTAGGTCTTCAGAAACCCATGCTGGCAGTAACAGGCGCCTCTGCTTGTCGTAGAAGGCGACTAACGGGATCGGGTGGTCAGGCTCGCTGACTTGGTTGACGTCATCGTATCCCATCTTCCCAAAGGAGTTACCTGACTTTAAAAGTCCACCCTTGTCGAACAAGACTGGAATTTTTAAGCTCGATCCTAGCGCCACCATTGGCTATCACGATTTATGTCCCTTCTATGTCTCTCCTACTAACCAATCAGATTCCATATCTCATAGCAAATGCATTTGCTTCAAACAAAATGGCGGCGCCCAGTCAAAACGATCTGCTTGATAATCAAAATCTACATTGAGATAAAACGGAACGTACTTCGCGAAGTGCAACAAATCACGTAAGCAACTTATTTAAAAACATGTAAGTATGTGGAAAATATCTGTACACATGCTTTGCAATCCCAGCAATCGACCGATATCTGCTCGGCAGTTTACAAACTGGTTGTCGATTTCGTTACGCGAATTTGATAACTCAAATTATAACTCAATAGTTCCAGCCTAGTTCGGCAAGGGTGGAAACTGGACTTTTATGTCGTATCCCGTTTGCGTAGATCGATGCTCATGATATCGAACACTGGATTGTCTGATCACTGGTCCAGACTCGATTATTTACAGATCTCCGTCATATAGCTGGAATATTGCTGAGTGCAACAAACAAACAAAGGAAACCACATTTCCGCGAAGTAAAGACACAGGTCCGTTGGTGGGAGATGACTGTAGCTTTTGGGCACCACCCTTGTATCATCATGGGCTACCTACCCTGGAGCTGTCATGAAGTTAGGGTACCAAATATACGATGACACCGGTCCAATAGGGAAGTTCTTCACATTGTCACAGTCAGTTACTGAAAACAAAGCAAAAACATTCTTGTAACATTTCACTTCAATCAACCCAAGTGAGTGAGTGAGTGAGTTGGGTTTAACGCTATTCTGAACAGTATTGATGTGGGAGGAAAGCCCGAAGTGATGCAGGTCTCAGGCGTTTACCATTTTGGTGAAAACCACGTGCCCGAATAGGTGCTGAGAAACCCAGAAACATACTCGGGGCGAGCCGGGGTTCAGACCAAAAAAAGGATTTTGGCGTGCCCAAGAGGGGCAAATCTGCACAGCGAAATTCGGCGACTCAGACGACCCTAATATCAATGTTAAACTGCGGCATGGTATCTCAGTGGGGTAGTACCATAAAACCTGTCCCATACACCCCTCACTGACTGACTTACCACTTACCCACCCACTAACTAACACACTCAATCACTCAGCGCCAACTGTTTGACTGCCCCACCCCTCACCCCTCGCATGCTGACTTAGAACTCACCACCCACCCATCGACCTACTCACCACCCACCCATCCACCCACTCACCCACTCACAACTTTAGTGTCCCACATTCTGCTCACAGGCTGACGCACCAGTCACCCACCCGCCCATCCACCCACTCGCCCACCCACCCATCCACCACCCATCCACAACTTCACTGTCCCACATTCCCCACACAGACTGACTCACCACTCACCACTCACCACTCACCCACCCGCCCATCCACCCACTCGCCCACCCACCCATCCACCACCCATCCACAATTTCACTGTCCCACATTCCCCCCACAGACTGACCTACCCCTCACCCAACCATCCACCCACTCACAACTTTGCTGTCCAACATTCCCCCCACAGACTGACTCACCACTCACCAGCCACCCACCCGCCCATCCACCCACTCACCATCCACCCATCCACCCACTCACCACCCACCCATCCACCCACTCACCTACCACCCATCCACCCACTCACCACCCACCCATCCATCCACTCACCACCCACCCATCCATCCACTCACCCACCCACCCATCCACCCACTCGCCCGGCCACCCATCCACCCACTCGCCCGGCCACCCATCCACCATCCACCCACAACTTCACTGTCCCACATTCCCCCCACAGACTGACTCACCACTCACCACTCACCCACCCACCCACCCACCCACTCGTCCACTCACAACTTTACTGTCCCACATTCCTCTCAAAGGCCGACGCACCAGCCACCCACCCGCCCATCCACCCACTCACCATCCACCCATCCACCCACTCACCTACCACCCATCCACCCACTCACCACCCACCCATCCACCCACTCACCACCCACCCATCCACCCACTCACCACCCACCCATCCACCCACTCACCATCCACCCATCCGCCCACTCACCTACCACCCATCCACCCACTCACCACCCACCCATCCACCCACCTACCACCAGACCATCCACCCACTCACCACCCACCCATCCATCCACTCACCACCCACCCATCCACCCACTCACCACCCACCCATCCTCCCATTCACCACCCACCCATCCACCCACCTACCACCCGACCATCCACCCACCTACCACCCACCAATCCATCCACTCACCACCCACCCATCCATCCACTCACCCACCCACCCATCCAACCACTCACCCACCCACCCACCCATCCATCCACTCACCCACCCACCCATCCAACCACCCATTCACCCATCCATCCACCCACTTACCCACCCACAACTTCACTGTCCCACATTCCCCCCACAGACCGACGCACCACTCACCCACCCATCCATCCATCCACCCACTCACCCACTCACCCACCCACCCATCCCCCAAATCACCCATCCACCCATCCATGATCCATGCATCCACCCACTCACCCACCCACCCATCCACCCACTCACCAACTCACCCACCACAACTTCACTGTCCCGCATTCCCCCCACAGACTGACTCACCAGTCAGTGACATGCTGGTGGCCTTCAGCATGAACTGCTTGGGTTTGGCCCCGGTGTATATTGTGGCGATCTGAACTGTCAGGTTTTCTCCACTGCTGTCCAGGTTCCAGAACGGCTGTTCCCCGCCGCAGCTGTCAATCATCATGACGGAACCTTCAGAGAAACATACACATATCTACAGTGAGAATAATATGATGGAGGTGGGGGTGAACTAGACTGGAGGTGGGGGTGAACTAGACTGGAGGTGGGGGTGAACTAGACTGGAGGTGGGGGTGAACTAGACTGGAGGTGGGGGTGAACTAGACTGTGGTGGGGTGAACTAGGCTGGAGATGGGGATGAACTAGACTGGAGGTGGGGGTGAACTAGATTGGAGCGGGGGTGAACTAGACTGGAGGTGGGGGTGAACTAGACTGGAGGTAGAGGTGAACTAGACTGTGGTGGGGTGAACTAGGCTGGAGATGGGGGTGAACTAGACTGGAGGTGGGGGTGAACTAGACTGGAGGTGGGGGTGAACTAGACTGGAGCGGGGGTGAACTAGACTGGAGGTGGGGGTGAACTAGATTGGAGGTGGGGGTGAACTAGGCTGTGGTGGGGTGAACTAGGCTGGAGATGGGGATGAACTAGACTGGAGGTGGGGGTGAACTAGATTGGAGCGGGGGTGAACTAGACTGGAGGTGGGGGTGAACTAGACTGGAGGTAGGGGTGAACTAGACTGTGGTGGGGTGAACTAGGCTGGAGATGGGGGTGAACTAGACTGGAGGTGGGGGTGAACTAGATTGGAGGTGGGGGTGAACTAGACTGGAGGTGGGGGTGAACTAGACTGGAGGTGGGGGTGAACTAGACTGGAGGTGGGGGTGAACTAGACTGGAGCGGGGGTGAACTAGACTGGAGGTGGGGGTGAACTAGACTGTGGTGGGGGTGAACTAAACTGGAGGTGGGGGTGAACTAGACTGGAGGTGGGGGTGAACTAGACTGGAGGTGGGGGTGAACTAGACTGGAGGTGGGGGTGAACTAGACTGGAGGTGGGGGTGAACTAGACTGGAGGTGGGGGTGAACTAGACTGTGGTGGGGTGAACTAGGCTGGAGATGGGGATGAACTAGACTGGAGGTGGGGGTGAACTAGATTGGAGGTGGGGGTGAACTAGATTGGGGGTGGGGTGAACTAGACTGGAGGTGGGGGTGAACTAGACTGGAGGTGGGGGTGAACTAGACTGGAGGTGGGGGTGAACTAGACTGGAGGTGGGGGTGAACTAGACTGGAGGTGGGGGTGAACTAGACTGGAGGTGGGGGTGAACTAGACTGGAGCGGGGGTGAACTAGACTGGAGGTGGGGGTGAACTAGACTGGAGGTGGGGGTGAACTAGACTGGAGGTGGGGGTGAACTAGACTGGAGCGGGGGTGAACTAGACTGGAGGTGGGGTGAACTAGACTGGAGGTGGGGGTGAACTAGACTGTGGTGGGGTGAACTAGGCTGGAGATGGGGATGAACTAGACTGGAGGTGGGGGTGAACTAGATTGGAGGTGGGGGTGAACTAGATTGGGGGTGGGGTGAACTAGACTGGAGGTGGGGGTGAACTAGACTGGAGGTGGGGGTGAACTAGGGTGGAGGTGGGGGTGAACTAGACTGGAGGTGGGGTGAACTAGACTGGAGGTGGGGGTGAACTAGACTGTGGTGGGGGTGAACTAGATTGGGGGTGGGGTGAACTAGACTGGAGGTGGGGGTGAACTAGACTGGAGGTGGGGGTGAACTAGGGTGGAGGTGGGGGTGAACTAGACTGGAGGTGGGGTGAACTAGACTGGAGGTGGGGGTGAACTAGACTGTTGTGGGGTGAACTAGGCTGGAGATGGGGGTGAACTAGACTGGAGGTGGGGGTGAACTAGGGTGGAGGTGGGGGTGAACTAGACTGGAGGTGGGGTGAACTAGACTGGAGGTGGGGGTGAACTAGACTGGAGATGGGGGTGAACTACACTGGATGTAAGGGAGAACTAGGGTGGAGGTGGGGGAGAACTAGGGTGGAGGTGGGGGTGAAGTAGGATGGAGTTGAGGGTGAACTAAGGGCAGCGATTGTGGTTAACTTACGGTCATACACCTTTATGGATCCTGTCCCACACGCCAGAGCCTCCGACTCCATCCAGCCGGGCAGACCCAACATGACCATGGAGCCTGCTGGGGCCATCAGTGTGTACGTACAGCTGATCGCATTGCTGCAACACCGCATTTGATATCACCTGTAGAAATACTCCAAACTCCCATTCATAATATGTGTAAAACGGAAGCCCCCAATCTACCATCGGTCTACTTAACGCTGCTTGAACAATCACACTTCATTTACACAACTGCGTCAGCTTAAAGTGATGCTGGCAGTAGAGGTACAACTGGTGAAACTCATATATAGAACGGAAGGTGGTTCGGTGGCTCGGCGGTTCGGTGGTTCGGCGGTTACTACAGGCTCTGCATATATATAATGGTGACTCTTGAAAATCACATTCGTGAAACCGGTTGAGTATATATGTATACATCGTCGATATAAAGATACTGGACTAACGGCAATATTATATACCAGGGCCATTGCGCTTATCTACTTGGTTAACGACCAAAGGGCATAATAATGTCATCGTCAAACGAGTAGGCACTGGTCTCGCGCTTCATATACAGAGTTATGTTCCTTGGTATGTAATAATTAAATAAGTGGAGTAAGATTGAACACAGTTTTAATTGGCTAGCGCTTTCAACTCGTATCATGTACGAGTCTCATCAGGCCATAACTGAATAACGGACTTGAAGTAGTAACATATAGTTACGTGACGTCATAACATTTGGGAAAACTATGACGTCACAATACCAAGGTGACAATGGACAAATAACTTACGCCTTTACATTCAACTTAGGCGCGTATTTATGAATGGAATGTTGCTCTTTTTGAAACAATGTAGGTTCATGATCAAAATGTAGCTTATATAGCGGGAAAACTAAAATGTTGCCGCTTCCACATGCATCTAAATGTTCACTGAGTGGAATCGTGTTTACATCACTTATAAGGGACATATACATATATACATACTAAGGGACACAACTCTGCATATGAAGCGCGAGACCAGTACCAGTGTTTTCTCGTTTGACTATGACATTATTATGCCCTTTGGTCGTTAACCAAGTAGATAAGCGCAATGGCCCTGGTATATACTATTGCCGTTAGATCAGTATCTTTATATCGAGGATATTTACAAGGTGTGATGATGTACGCTCGTACGTACGCAAACAATAGTTTACATGGATATTGTTTTGGTGTCAATGTGGGTTAGAATGACGGTTCAATTAGGACGTAATTCACTCACTTGTCGTTCAGTGGCGGCATCGGCAGGAACACGGGGTTGACGCCAACATTGATCGGACTTGCCTGGCAGCTTGTCGGATCTGAAACCAAATAACGGGTAGGATGAACATTCGACGTTGATGTCAGGTGCTATCCTCCACGTAAGGTGAGGTGAGGTGCAATGATGTGAGGTGAGTATGGTGAGGTGACGTGCATTGAGGTGAGGTGACATGAGGAGAGGTGAGGTGAGGTGGCATGAGTCGAGGTGAGGTAAGGTGAGGTGGGTGAGGTGACATGAGGTGAGGTGAGGTGCAGTGAATTTGGGTGATGTGACATGAGGTGAGCTGACATGGGGTGAGGTGAGGAGAGGTAAGGTGCAGTGAGGTGAGGTGAGGTGACATAAGGTGAGGTGAGGTGGGGTGAGGTGATATGAGGTAAGGTAAGGTGAGGTGAGGTGACATGAGGTGAGGTGGGGTGAGGTGACATGAAGTGAGGTGATATGAGCTGAGATGAGGTGAGGTGGGGTGAGGTGAGATGGGGTGAGGTGAGGTGACATAAGGTGATGTGGGTGAGGTGATATGAGGTGAGGTAAGGTGACATGAGGTGAGGTAAGGTTAGGTGAGGTATGATGAGGTGAGGTGACATGATGTGAGTTAAGGTGAGGTGAGGTAGGTATGATGGGGTGAGGTGACGTGCAGTGAGGTGAGGTGAGGTGAGGTGAGGTGAGGTGAAATGGCGTTTCAGATTATTGCATTAATATGGCGACATGCATGCATATGTATGTGTGTCCTTGTTTTCTCCCCTTAATGCAGAGCGCCAAGCAGGGTAACAACATGCTTTAACGTCTTTAGGTACTACGCAGCGGGGTTCAAACCACCGATAATTTGCTCTCCGTGTAGACACTGTCCACGGGGGTTATCCGGTCAGGGCATCGAACCAACGACCTTCAGCTCTCTGGGCAAACGCTGTATCCACTAAACCACCGAGGCGGTACAAAAGGACACCGGTATCTTGTTATATATGTCCTTAAAACGGAATCAGATACTTACACGATGGAGCGGACCATATCTTTAGGTAGAAGCCCTTGTCCTCACGCATGCCGTCCGAAACGAACCGGATTGTCATCACTTGCGTCATCGACTGCACCATCACCATGGCCTTGCCACACGCCATCTTCAGTGGTGCAGCAGTCGTACTGGTACCTTAAACAGTAGGATAGAAATACGTCGTCAGTGAGAGTATAGACCTACATTAATAGCACTTGAAAATCGTAGCTCATGCTATTTTGTCCGGTGGGGATGCCTGGTTCGTGGTAATCTTCACATGGTTGTCTGGTGTTGATTCCAATATTTACCGGTTGCCGTTATACAGCTTGATCATTGGAGATAATGACTTTTAACAACAAACAAATCTGACTCTTTTGACGACTTTGTAGGCGCGTTTGGCGTCACAATAATTTATGATGCTTTGGAACTCCGAATAGATGTGCTTAAGATATATTATGATAAGGATACTATTGAACTTCCCATACACAAATTGATTTGGTATGACATTTTGTATCTTCCCAAACTGACTGACTGACTGACTGACTGACTGACTGAATGACTGAATGACTGAATGACTGACTGACTGACTGACTCACTGACTCACTGACTGACTCACTGACTCACTGACTCACTGACTGACTCACATACTGACTCACTGAATCACTCTATACACCAAATACCCTACCATCAAAAAACCGTATCTTGTCTGTACAATTCCCGTCGTCGTGAAGGTCCATGTCCACGCTCATGACGTGAACAACTTGACCACTTTGAGCGGTGATGATCGAGGTGCAGTTTTCATTTCTGGAATAAAGGATGAAGCACATATATACTTGAATATAAGGCTAATGGGGAAGATGGAGGTATAACTGTTCCCCTGCAGAGGAATACTGTATACTAAGATAATTTGTAAAACTACTGGTAGTTGGGGAATATGAAGGATATATATCTAATAATCTATTCGAAAAGTCGATGATATAAAGCATTAACCTCCTATAACGCTGTGTGTAAATTAACAATGTAAAGGATTTACATTCAATAACGCTGTGGTAGTAGAACTTTATAAAGGATTTACCTTCCATAATGCTGTAGGTAGTAGGACTATATAAAGGATTTACCTTCAATAACACTCTGGGTAGTGGGACTATATAAAGGATTTACCTTCCATAACGCTGTGGTAGTTGGTCTATATAAAGGATTTACCTTCAATAACGCTGTGGTAGTTGGACTATATAAAGGATTTACCTTCCATAATGCTGTGGTAGTAGAACTATATAAAGGATTTACATTCCATAATGCTGTAGGTAGTAGGACTATATAAAGGATTTACCTTCAAAAACACTTTGGGTTGTGGGACTATATAAAGGATTTACCTTCCATAACGCTGTGGTAGTTGGTCTATATAAAGGCTTTACCTTTCATAACGCTGTGGCAGTAGAACTATATAAAGGATTTACCTTCCATAATGCTGTGGGTAGTAGGACTATATTGAGGATTTACCTTCCATAACGCTGTGGTAGTTGGACTATATAAAGAATTTACCTTCCATAATGCTGTGGTAGTAGGACTTTATAAAGGATTTACCTTCCATAACGCTGTGGTAGTTGGTCTAAATAAAGGATTTACCTTCCATAACGATCTGGATAGTTGGACTATATAAAGGATTTACCTTCCATAACGCTGTGGGTAGTTGGACTATCTAAAGGATTTACCTTCCATAACGCTGTGGGTAGTTGGACTATCTAAAGGATTTACCTTCCCTAACGCTGTGGGTAGTTGGACTATCTAAAGGATTTACCTTCCATAACGCTGTGGTAGTTGGGCTATCTAAAGGATTTACCTTCCATAACGCTGTGGTAGTAGGACTATCTAAAGGATTTTCCTTCCATAACGCTTTGGGTAGTAGGACTATCTAAAGGATTTACCTTCCATAACGATCTGGGTAGTTTGAAGACATAAACGACATTTGTGTTGGTGTTGCGTTCATGTTCGGAGGCGGACATGCTGCGTCTGTAAGAGGAAACATCAACCATCATTCCGTTGCATAAAAATGGTTCTGTACCATGGAAGCAAAGACAGTATGGTTAAGCTTACAAATCTGAATGTTCTGTGAGGTACCAAAGACAGTATGGTTAAGCTTACAAATCTGAATGTTCTGTGAGGTACCAAAGACAGTATGGTTAAGCTTACAAATCTGAATGTTCTGTGAGGTACCAAAGACAGTATGGTTAAGCTTACAAATCTGAATGTTCTGTGAGGTACCGAAGACAGTATGGTTAAGCTTACAAATCTGAATGTTCTGTGAGGTACCAAAGGGAAGATTTTGTAATATAAATAGGTATATATGTTACGGGAAATATGTTTAATCCGGGAATATTCCGGGAAATTTTCTATCCTATGTTTGATGTAGCATTGTTTGATTACAATGAAAACCAATTGTTAATTTGAGTGAAAGGTATTTGTTATCATGTCATCTCATAAATAATTTGCTTTTTTAATCAAGCCTGACCATATGAGAGCCTCAAAAGTAATTTCAGGAATATTTCTAAAAAACTTGATGTTAATATGCATACTACCTGAAAATTTTAGGGATTATATATATTAAATACGTTCCCTGAAAATTTCAGGGATTATATATATTCCCTGCATTATACATATTCCCTGTAACATACATACACATAAGCACTGATTAAGCACGTGTTCGGATGTTTGCTACTTCATAAAAATGGCTGCTGTGATTCATTGTTGGAAACACGACAAGAGAGTAGAGAGGAGGGGTGAAATGGGGTTTAACGTCGCGTCCAAGATTATTGCACTTATAGAGCGACGTGCATGCACGTGTATGTGTGTGTGTGGCTGCTTGTACTAGTCCGGACTGATGCCGATTTATAGTGCCAGCGCACTGAGATACCATGCAGCAGTTTAACATGAATACCCCACTCAGACACAGTATACTGACTCCGAGCCGACCAGTCCTTGTTTTAGACCCTTAATGCCGAGCGCCAGACAGGGTAACAACAAGTACCATATTTTAACGTCGGGATCGAACCCCGGACCTTCCGCTCTCCGGGCGGACGCTCTACCACTAGACCACGGAGGCGGTCTCAAGAGAGTAGTAAACTGACAAACAGAACACTATCACCACACAAATAATGACTCGAGCAGAATGTACCGACCTATTAACTTTATGCGAGGTCTGAAATCGTTTTTAACAAAGTAGCAGCACCGAGCACACACTACGAATCCAACTGCCACATTATGCAGTGAAAAACAATTATTGTTAACCTGGCTAGGAATCACCACTGACTCTGCAATCAGTATCCACCTTTTCACGAATGACGTTTGCTGCTGATGAGACGGGTGGCCCAGTCGTGTAAGGTGCCGCAATTCGGTGTGCAGAGTTGCGGCCCTTGGGCACGCCAGAAACCTGTGATTGTGGGTTCGAATCCATGTTCGCCCCGGTTACGTTTCTAGGTTTGTCAGCACCATATCCGTGCTCGTGGGTTTCACCGAAGTGGTAAACGTCTGAGACCTGCATCACTTCGGGCTTTCCTCCCACATTAAGCTGACACGCTGTGATATAACTGGAATACTTTTAAAGCGGCGTTAAACCCAACCCACTCACTCACTCACTCACTTTATCTTAGCCTTAAGATATCTTATCTTTCAACGTAGGTAGTTAAGATTTATCTTAGCTAAGATCGTTTCGAAAATCTAGGCCCTGTTCTTATTGCGACTTGTGTGATCAGACTGATGTGTTTTATTGGACACGGCAGTGACATTGCCTCTTGAAACGCCGGCGCCGACTAGCTGCTGACACTGCTTCAAACTTCACAGACTTGACATACCTATCTTGGACGTCATGTAAAACAATATCATTTGAAAGATTTCTTACTTTTTTTAGTAAGGTATGAATTTTAGTATTTTTTTAGTCCCGTCTGGGATTCGAACCCACACTCTCAGAGTGATGAGTAATGGGACACAACCCTAAAAAGTACTCGAATTTGTACTTTACATTTGTTAAATTTGATCACTTTCTAAAAGACATTGTGTTTTCATAGCTTTCGGCCATGGGAGCCGCGCCAATTTACACTTGTCAGTGCGGTACACAACTGACTGACTGAGTATTGTGTTATGCCACTTTTAGCATATCCAGCAATATCCCAGCGGGGGACACCAGATATGGGCTTCACACATTGTATCCATATCGGAAATCGAACCCGGGTCTTCGGCGTGACGAACGAACGCTTTAATCATGAAGCTACCCGACCGCCCCGAGCGGTACACAAAGTATGTAATTTAGACAATTAGCTGTCGGACTTTCGTTTTGTGGAAACCTCTCTGACTGAGTGGGTTAGATCGCTGAATTTGTGTGCTGGCGTTAAGTATTTTCACTCCGAGTTTGTGGGTATGAATCCCAGACATGACATATTCCAAAAGAGTATTGCATTTGTTCTTTACTGAAAAAATGTTATCCTCAATATAGAGAGTGAATATGGTTTTACGACGCTTTTAGCAATATCACGGTGGGAGACGCCATGTCGGGAATCGAACCCGGGTGACGGTTTGACGAGCGAGCGCTTTAACCACTAGGCTACCCGACCGCCCCATATCCCAAATATATCATTTGTTACATATAGTTACATAACCGGTTGTTTATTTTTTTATAATATTGGTGAATGCCACTGTCAAGCGTGGTCTTCGTGTATCAATGTTATATCGACGCTTCTTTCTATGGTTACGTTATGTGGTAGGTAATATAAGTGCCCCATATATCCCGGGCGTTGCTACTGTATTCACTGGCTGATTCCAGTGAAGCTGTTGACACAATGGCTGTGTGAGCACAGCACCACGACACCATGGACATGGGGCTGCATATGTTGAATAGGTTATAGGCGGTTTATGTGAAATAAGAGAGGCGTTATGAGCTGGGGCTGATAATGGATCCCCACTATGAACTTGGTGGGGAGAACTCAAGGCCCCCTTAATATAGGTCAGCACTGTTGTAGTAAAGGTGCAATATTTTCTGTACAACACCTGGTGACGTGCACCACAGTGTCACTACTAAATGTCGACACTGTTGTAGTGGAGGTGCAATATTCTCGACACAACGCCTGGTGACCGGCATCCCAGTGTCACTACTAAAATAATGTCAACTGTTGTAGTAGAGGTGCAATATTCTCTATACAACACCTGGTGACGTGCCTCCCAGTGTCACTACTAAATGTCAGCACTGTTGTAGAGGAGGTGCAATATTCTCTATACAACACCTGGTGACGTGCCTCCCAGTGTCACTACTAAATGTCAACTGTTGTAGTGGAGGTGCAATATTCTCTATACAACACCTGGTGACGTGCTTCCCAGTGTCACTACTAAATGTCAACACTGTTGTAGTAGAGGTGCAATATTCTCTATACAACACCTGGTGACGTGCACCACAGTGTCACTACTAAATGTCAACACTGTTGTAGTGGAGGTGCAATATTCTCTATACTACACCTGGTGACGTGCACAACAGTGTCACTGCTAAATGTCAGCACTGTTGTAGTGGAGGTGCTATATTCTCTCTACAACACCTGGTGACCGGCATCCCAGTGTCACTACTAAATGTTAACACTGTTGTAGTAGAGGTGCAATATTCTCTATACAACACCTGGTAACCGGCATCCCAGTGTCACTACTAAATATCAACACTGTTGTAGTGGAGGTGCTATATTCTTTCTACAACACCTGGTGACGTGCCTCCCAGTGTCACTACTAAATGTCAACACTGTTGTAGTGGAGGTGCAATACTCTCTATACAACACCTGGTGACGTGCACTACAGTGTCACTACTAAATGTCAACACTGTTGTAGTGGAGGTGCAATATTCTCTATACAACACCTGGTGACCGGCATCCCAGTGTCACTACTAAATGTCAACTGTTGTAGTAGAGGTGCAATATTCTCTATACAACACCTGGTGACCGGAATCCTGGTGTCACTAACAAATGTCAACTGTTGTAGTGGAGGTGCAATATTCTCTATACAACACCTGGTGACGTGCACCACAGAGTCACTACTAAATGTTAACACTGTTGTAGTGGAGGTGCATTATTCTCTATACAACACCTGGTGACCGGCATCCCAGTGTCACTACTAAATGTCAACACTGTTGTAGTAGAGGTGCAATATTCTCTATACAACACCTGGTGACGTGCACCACAGTGTCACTACTAAATGTCAACACTGTTGTAGTGGAGGTGCAATATTATCTATACAACACCTGGTGACCGGCATCCCAGTGTCACTACTAAATGTCAGCACTGTTGTAGAGGAGGTGCAATATTCTCTATACAACATCTGGTGACCGGCATCCCAGTGTCACTACTAAATGTCAACACTGTTGTAGTGGAGGTGCAATATTCTCCATACAACACCTGGTGACGTGCACCACAGTGTCACTACTAAATGTCAACACTGTTGTAGTAGAGGTGCAATATTCTCTATACTACACCTGGTGACGTGCACCACAGTGTCACTACTAAATGTCAGCACTGTTGTAGTAGAGGTGCAATATTCTCTCTACAACACCTGGTGACGTGCCTCCCAGTGTCACTACTAAATGTCAGCACTGTTGTAGTAGAGGTGCAATATTCTCTATACAACACCTGGTGACGTGCACCACAGAGTCACTACTAAATGTTAACACTGTTGTAGTGGAGGTGCAATATTCTCTATACAACACCTGGTGACCGGCATCCCAGTGTCACTACTAAATGTCAACACTGTTGTAGTAGAGGTGCAATATTCTCTATACAACACCTGGTGACGTGCACCACAGTGTCACAACTAAATGTCAACACTGTTGTAGTGGAGGTGCAATATTCTCTATACAACACCTGGTGACCGGCATCCCAGTGTCACTACTAAATGTCAGCACTGTTGTAGAGGAGGTGCAATATTCTCTATACAACACCTGGTGACGTGCACCACAGTGTCACTACTAAATGTCAACACTGTTGTAGTTG